CAGCTGCCCTACCCGAGGCGTCCCGCACCAAAAGCCTGGGGGGGGGGGGGGCGCACTAGCTGCGGCCCCTCCCCCCCCCAGCAGACCAGGGAGACCCGAGCAAAGCCGCCCAGGTTTGCTGGACCCCCCCAGCAGACCAGGGGGATAGGAGCAAAGCCGCCCAGGCGGCAGGGGTCCCGCTGCCTGGGCAGCTTTGCTCCCGGGCAAACGAGCAAAGCCGCCCAGGCGGCGGCTTTGCTCGGGTGTCCCTGGTCTGCTGGGGGGGTCCAGCGGCTTTGCTGGACCCCCCCAGCGGACCAGGGAGACCGGAAGAAGCTTTTCTCGCCCCGGAGGACAAGGGTGGCGACCCGCCGCCCGTGAGCTCCGGGGTGAGAAAAGCCCTGTTCGTTAAGTGCGGATCCGACATAAGTCGGAGCCGCGTAAGTCGGGGACTGCCTGTACTGGCTGGCTGGTAGACACGCTCATGCAGTGTGAGTGTATCTACCAGCCAGGCAGTACGCAACTACGTACTGATACTCATGATAATAATAAAAACGTAATTAGAAAATACCGGACATTTATATGTCTGATATTTTCTCAATTTGTTTCCTGGACAAAAGTGCAAATACCGGACTGTTCAAAACCGCACACCTGGCAACCCTTAGCAAAAATGGCCTTAAATACAGTACACAACTGCTGAAGTAAGAGGTGTATGTAAAATGGCTATATTAGAGCTACCACCATAAACTCTGTCTGACCCTTGAGCATGTACAAGTCAATGCAAGGGCAAGTGTGCTCTCTTTGCACCTCTGAGCATAAAGACTACTCTCTGGTGGCTCCTACTTAGGAGACAGGGGAGAAGTGGTGGCATAACTGATCCATCCTTTTCTGCCCACTGGCCATCAGAGCTCACTGTCCTTAGAACGACACCCTCAGAATGTTGTACCCTCAAAAGTAGTGGGATAGCTGGCTTGCTCTGTATGCCATGGAGCTTTAAGAGAAACAGTGCCTAGGAGCGGGTGGCTCTGCTTCTGAATTTCCTCCCAATGTGGAGCTGTGTCTGATTCTGAAAGTACAACGCTACAGAGCATGTGCTTCATTCTGCTAGTTATTCCAGTGAAAGCTTGATGTTCAGAGTTCCTAGGCTATGTGAAAGTGTTAAAAATTTACTAATCTATTGCTTGGGTAGGCAGCTGCCAACATTATGCTAACACAGTGCTCTGCTGCTTATTGAGCTCTGTGTGGGGGCTTCTTATCATTTTGCTACCATAGAAACTAATATTTGCAGCTACTGCTCAATTTTCCTCTAACTCTTCATTTCCACTTTCTCAAAAACATACTCAAAAGCTCTTCTAGATGGAGATCACTTGCCAAAATTTTCAACCAAAAGTAACTTGTGGGGGAGTACTACAGGGTGGGGAGCAATCTGGTACGGACCTTAGTCTCAATGAAGAATAATGGATTGGCAAATTGGACTTGCAACACACACACTCTCTCTCTTTCTCTAGCAATTACAATTTATTTTGTGCAGCTGCAACAAGACATTTCCAGTAGTATTTCAGTTACATTATGATCAGTTGGTGAAATTTTCCTCAACACACCACATGCCTATGCAAAACACCTTAGGATCATTGTCCTACATACAGCACTAAGGATTCAGCAGGGTTTGTAAGGCCTTGTATTAAGAATATAAAATCCTGGATAATCAGTTAACTGGCTAAACGCTATGTTTAAACTGGCTAACTGATTAAGCAGGGATTCTAGTGGGGGACCTCTCCAGCCCGGCCTCCCTGGCCATGGGGGGCTGCCACTGTCTGCTTCTGGCCCCGCCATGCAGGCTGGGGGATGGGAGCAGGTTGCTGGTTCCTGATCCCCATGGGGGGCTGGAGCAGCCCTCCACCTGCAGCGGGCCACGGACAAAGAGCATCCCTACCTTATATAGAACAATTACCCTTTCACATCCCTACCTTGTACTGGCCCCTTCGTATTAGGTTAGTTTCACCTCTTGGTATTATGGAGCTCAGCAACTATAGTGTCACAACCTTAGTTATATAACTGCATGGTACCATGGCTATTTTATTGTCTTCTTAAACATATAAAGCAGTGATGTTTAAAACTGATAAAGCTGCAAAAATAATTGCACAACTCCAGAGGGCCACAGTCTTTTTCCCTCTAATTTTTCTCTTTTCTCTCTGTTGAAGATGCATGAAGTTAGCTTAACATTAAAATTGGAAGTTTAATCTTTTTAAAAAAACCTAAAACAGAAAACACTGTATTGCCATTTGCAACATACTTTTAAGATCAAAGCAGACTGTGAAGAGCTTCAAAAAGATCTCACCAAACTAAGTGATTGGGCAACAAAATGACAAATGAAATGTAATGTTGATAAATGTAAAGTAATCCACATTGGAAAAAATAACCTCAACTATATAGACAATATGACGGGGACTAATATGGCTACAAATACTCAAGAGAGAGATCTTGAGAGTCATTGTGGATAGTTTTCTGAAAATATCCACTCAGTGTGCAGCAGCAGTCAATAAAGCAAATACAATGTTAGGAATCATTAAAAAAAGGGACAGAGAATAAGACCTCTATAGAAAACCATGGTATGCCCACATCTTAAATACTACATAAAGAAAAAGTTCAGAGAGGACAAAAAAATTATTAGGGGTTTGGAACAGGGCCCATATGAAAAGAGATTAAAAAGACATGGATTTTTCACCTTGGAAAAGAGGAGACTAAGGGGGGGGGTGGGGGGGGGGATGATAGAGGTCTATAAAACTGGTGTGGAAAAAGTGAATAAGGAAAAATTATTTACTTATTCCCACAATATAAGAACTAGGAGTCACCAAATGAAATTAATAGACAGCAGATTTAAAAAAAGGAAGTTTTTCTTCACTCAGCACACAGTCAACCTATGGAACTCCTTGCCACAGGATGTGGTGAAGACTAGGGCTTTAACAGGTTTCAAAAAAGAGCTAGATAGATTCATGGAGGTTAGGTTCATCAATGGCTATTAGCCAGGATGGGTAGGAATGGTGTCCTAGCCTCTGTTTGTCTGGAAATGGGTGACAGGAGAGGGATCATGTGAGGATTACCTGTTGTGTTCCCTCCCTCTGGGGCATCTGGTACTATTGGCAAACAGAATGCTGAGCTAGATGGACCTTTGGTCTGACCCAGTATGGTCATTCTTATGTTTTTAACATATGCAACAATTCCACATATGTAGCATTGTTAGTTACTGGTTGGACTACCAACTACATGCAGTATGAACAAAGTGGCCTAGCTAAAATTACAACTGGAACCTAATCTTTTGCATTTATTGATATTTCATCCTCTAGTCAGCTTAGGGCTGCTTCACCATCTCTTTAAATGCACCAAAACCTTGTGTAGCTGATGACTTTGCTCCACCTCCCCTCCCCCAAATGTTTTTTATATTTTATAGCAGATGTAATGTTGCAGGCTCTTTGCAGACATTCTGAAAGAAAAACAGATTTCTTCCTCAAAGGAAATAAGTAGTTAGGTAGCACTTACTGGAACTCCTTTTTCACATTGACGTGATGCATGTTTTCGATAACTTGTATGTCTTCCCCAGAACATTTCAATTTATGGCAATTTTTGCAAAGGAAAGTTATTAGTGAAGGGTTTTCCTTGTAAGTCTTAAGCTGATCTCTCTTTGCCTTCATTTTTTTTTCCATTATACTTTGCATCTGAAAGCCTTGAATCTAGAAGCAGAACAGAACACTGTCATATTCTACTAAAACTACAGCAGCAGACTTATGGAAATGAAGGATTTATTTCCAAGTTTACTTCCAAAACTCCACCCACTTGAAATGAATACAGATTTGGGAAATACAGATACGGGAAATGGATTCAGTTAGAAAGACACAGTCAACTTTAAAAACTTTTTTTTTTAACCTAACAATTTTTTTCTGGTTGTTTTTGTTACAAGTAACTTCTAAAAATGACTGTCACAAAGATGTGAAAACAATGAGTATTTTTTTCTAATTTTGCAGTTATTTTACTTTAATTTATGTGTTTTTTCTAACTTTATCAACAGGAAAGAAAATGTTATTTTTAAAACATGTAAATGTGGTTGTAAAGCAGTAAATATTGCACAAAGAATTGAGGGCAACAGTCATATTGATTTTCGTTTTGTCTTCAGGAAACAGACCTGTTCCTCATTATAAGACAAAGAATGCGTCAGAAGCAATACCTTATGTAGATATTCCTCCTGTGACATCTTTTGGACACGTTGAATAGCTTTATACATCATTTTCTCGCGAAATATATTAACATTTTCACGTTCAACAGCTCCTGATCCACCTGACGCCACCAGCACATAGGTGCTTTCATCAGCTCGAGCTCGACCCCGGGCCTGCAGTTTGCAAAAAACATTGGCTAAGAAATCCTGCACAACCCTTCACTCGCTCGGCCATATTCATGTAACTAAAGATGTTCTTTTGTTTCTTGAAGTTAAGAGAATGAGAATCTCTGTGTAGCACATCTGCAGTTAAACATTATTTATCTGGCTCTTTGATAAACAGCATTCCAATACCATGTAGTGCCATTAAAAATAAAATAACTAGCACATGGTATTAGGGAGATATAATTTGAAAGGGACCAGGAGACAAAAACTTTGCAACTCAGAACCTAAGTTTTCCCTGAAAAAGAAATGCATGCAATACAAATCCCCATATTAATTCACACGTAACATTCTAGCTTGAATATAGTAGTATTTTGAGATGGAAGTGTTTGCATGTGTTATTTACCACAGGAAATGCCTTCACAATTGTATATTCTGTGCATTACTTCAATTGTAAACTTTTCTGAGCATGAATTTATTTTGTTATGTATTTGTACTGCGTGTAGCACACCAGGGCTGGGGCCTACAGGGGCATAACAATACAAATAATTAATATGGTCAGTGAATGATTTGGGATTTTTTTCACAAAAATCCTGTGTCATTTATCTTTCAGGGGAGAGAAGAACTAGTAAATGAAGGGGTGGATACACATCTTCCTCTGGAGCCCCTTCTCCAACATGGTAAAAGGGAGCTAAGGTCAACCTTTGCCCATCTTCTCTCCTAGCTTCAGGAAGGGCCACCTAAGAGCTTAAGGATTGTGAACAGCTTTGAGCAGGCACTTGCATATGTGTGAATTTCACATTGTACAGAGGGTGCAGCATGGAAATGGGGTTGGTATAAAACATCTCTTTAAGCATTTTCCTCCTTAGTATGTAAGGGTCCCAAGATTTCTTGCAAATATGATACGTACAACAGAAGTTTGAAAACAACTGTCAGAGAGTGTAACGCCTCGTGCATCACCTCCCATGTTTCTCCCTCCAATGCTTCTCCTGACAAAGAAAGGCTGTTTTGGTATATAGACACATCAGTGAGAAATTCTGGCCTTATTTAAAACCACACCCAAAAATACAAATTCCCATACCTGCACCATAGCTATTTCATTGGTGACAAGACCATAGCGGATAACAATGTTGCACTCTTTGATATCCAGGCCTTCTTCAGCCACAGTAGTAGCAATAAGTAGATTTACTTTCCCAGCACGGAATTTACTGATGATTTCCCTTTGTTCATTCTGTAAAAACAAATTTCATTAATTTGATTCACTATATTAACTTTCAGTGTTATCCTCTAGCACTTAAAACTAAGCAATCTTTCCTTTCTTTAAAAGGTTTAGTGAATTATGGCCAAAGTTTTCAAGCTTGGGCGCATTTAAACATTTTTAAGGGGATAAGAAAGTACACCATTGACTTCAGTGTGTGCTGAAAATACACAATACCTTTGAAAAAGAAAAAAACCTCACTTTCATTTGCTTATTAATATTAAGTGCCAAAATATAAAAATATCACTCTATAATCCCAGTGAACTGTGAGGTGTCAGAGAGGCTGGACAACACTGTTTCTTTGTTCTGTCATTAAACCAGCACTGATAGAAACAAAAATAAGGTCCTGATTTTCAAAGATACAACAAACATCTGCCACTATCATTAATTTCAGCTGGAGTGATGGAACTCAGCTGCACCATAATCACGCCCAAAGGTTTTTTAAATTTAATTTCCCTTATAATGTAAAATGCTTCTCTCAAGATAAATAGCACAGTTTTAAAAAAATCCACAACCCCAAAGCACTGATGAGGCTTTTAGAGTAAAACAATCTCACGTGCAAAGATATGTGACACCTTTTGAAATCTTTCTATGTGTTGTGTTTAACTTTAGAATCTAGAAGCTCTCGAATAAAAGCTCAATTTGCTCTTTCATCATTACACCATATCGCAATAAATCTTCATATGAAAGATTCAATTCCTAACATTTTTTAAAGCTGAGAAACCCTGATGTAAATTGGTTCTGTCTAGCATATAAGCCACACTTTTTTAAAGTGCTGAAATGACAGTCTCATTGGGAGCTAGAACAGAAATACAAGGGGGAAATTTAGCCAATTAGAACATTCATTGTTGAAATCTGAATATTTTTTGGCTACAGAAAGCCACAGAGAAGGCACAGTCAACAAACAAAATAATGTGGAGTAAATCAAACTGAGTGATTCATTGTGAATAATATTCATTGTGAATTTTGGCAATTTCTCATTCAATAATTATCCAGCCATGGTGTGAAGCATATGGGCCTATGCAAATTAAGTAAACAGCAAGACAAGGAACAAGCACAGGTCAGTAACATTACAACTCTTTTCAGATTAACAAAGAATATGACAATAGATATTATGTTTGTCTCTTAATACACAATTTTAAAGGATAAAATAATATCCCAGATTTTAATAACTGTAATAGAATATATAAAAAGGGTCCAGGCTGCCTCACTAAATCATAGATTACTAAAACTTGAAGGGACCTTGAGAGATCATCAAGTGAAGTCATCTGCCCTCACAGCAGGACCAAGCACTGTCAGATCATCCCTGATAGATGTCTATCCAATCTGCTCTTAAATATCTCCAGTGATGGAGATTCCACAACCTCCCTAGGTAACTTATTCCAGTGTTTAACCACCCTGACAGTTAGGAAGTTTTTCCTAATGTCCAACTTAAATCTCCCTTACTGCAATTTAAGCCCATTATTTCTTGTCATCTAGCCAAATACAACTTAGATGGGGCTACTGTAAGGTTGGTGCATAAAGTAGCTGGATAACCATATTCAGAGAGTAGTTATTAATGGTTCACAATCCTGCTGGAAAGGTATAACAAGTGGAGTTCCGCAGGGGTCTGTTTTGGGACCGGCTCTGTTCAATATCTTCATCAAAGATTTAGATATTGGTATAGAAAGTACGCTTATCGGCTGTGTCTACATTGGCACCCTTTTCCGGAAAAGGGATGCTAATGAGACAAGTCGGAATTGCAAATGCCGCGGGGGATTTAAATATCCCCTGCGGCATTTGCATGAACATGGCTGTCGCTTTTTTCCGGCTCGGGGCTTTGCCGGAGAAAAGTGCCAGTCTAGACGGGATCTTTCGGAAAATAAAGCCTTTTCCGGAAGATCCCTTATTCCTTCAGATGATTAATTGCACTATCTAGAGCAAACATACTCTGCAAGCTGTTCCTCCCATGCATGACTCCAATGGGACTTCTCACATGCATCATTTTAAGCATGTGTTTAAATGCACAAATTGCTCAGTCCAGGCTCATGTCCACAGTACCTCCCAGAAGTGAGTGCACTGTGCCTAATAGAGTGATGTTGTTCTCCATTGCTCAGATCAGGATAGATATGCCTAGTTAAAAATTTGTGGGGTAGCTGGTATGACTGCTATCCGTGTGATGGACACAAGCAAGCAAACAGTTCTTATCCGGATTACACCCCAGTTCATGAGAGCATCTCTATTCTGGACACCACCCAAGCACAAGTTTTAAATCCCATTGGCTCTAGTTATTTATAACATGTTTAAAAGAAATAACTCTTCCACGTCTGTAATTTGGGCTTTGTGACATCACTCATGGGAGTAAGTCCTAAATCCAATAAAAGTGATTTAGGACTTACTTTGTGTCCTAATTGTGTCCAGTCCTGGGCACCACATTTCAAGAAGGATGTGGAGAAATTGGAGATGGTCCAGAGAAGAGCAACAAGAATGATTAAAGGTCTAGAGAACATGACCTATGAAGGAAGGCTGAAAGAATTGGGTTTGTTTAGTTTAGAAAAGAGAAGATTGAGTGGGGACATGATAGCAGTTTTCAGATATCTAAAAGGGTATCATAAGGAGGAGGGAGAAAACTTGTTCATCTTGGCCTCTGAGGATAGAACAAGAAGTAATGGGCTTAAACTGCAGCAAGGGAGGTTTAGGTTGGACATTAGGAAAAAGTTCCAAAGTATCAGGGTAGTCAAACACTGGAATAAATTGCCCAGGGAGGTTATAGAATTCCCATCTCTGGAGATATTTAAGAGTAGGTTAGATAAATGTCTATCAGGGATGGTCTAGAAATTATTTGGTCCTGCCATGAGGGCAGGGGACTGAACTTGATGACCTCTCGAGGTCCCTTCCAGTCCTAGTATTCTATGATTCTCTCTCATCACAGGCCAAGGAGATCATCAACTCAAGGTTCTGTACAGATGTAACCAACGACAGTATAAGCCAACTGACATCAGTGAACTAACTTCTGAGTCAGTCAAAGGGCATTCTGCCCATTATTTGAAAACTCAGTCTTAACGTGAGCTCCATCCTTTAAAACAACGGAGATAGTTCTCATTGCTGTCAGTGAGACCATTAAGTATCACTTGCAATGGTGTTTGCAGGAGAGACCCTTAACACCAAGTTCTGGTGTTCTATGAAAGAAGTGACACTACAAACATGCAAAGCAGACAGCTCCCAACATGCCCTGCTTGTTTGGCCTTTGTAAGATCACCATCTCTTCTAGGGGAACCTTAGTGCTCGTCTTCACTGACACAGAGATATCCTGTTATGAGCTAACTAAGAAATTTAGAGTGAAAGAATTAAGAGAAGACAAGGCACTTGTCATTTACATCAGAAAGTAGTCATTTACACCAGAAAGTAGCCAGATCAGCACTATACCTCGATTCAGCTGATGTATTTTAAAATGTGATTAGCACTTGGTGCTAATGTAATGCTTTTCCAAGTGCTTCACAAAAGGAGGATGAGTACCCCCACTCTTCAATGGCAGAAATAAGTCACAAAGCAGTTAAGGGATCTGAACAAGATTGAACAAAATCAGAGATAGATGTGGGACTGAATCCAGGTCTCCAGACTCCCAGTCCTTTTCTCAAACAATTAAGACAAGCTGCCTCCTTTAAATGTAAATACATTTTAAACACCACTCACTAATTTCATTTTCTGTGAGTTTTGTACCTGAGTCATGGGTTTAAATTCACTGTTATGTCCAGCTCCAATTAGATAGTGAGCTTTAACTCCCACTTCTTCGAATTTCGTGTTATCCTGAATCCACTGGAAAAGGGCAAATGCACTTTGCCGAGTCTTTGTGAAGATAATTCCCCTAGCTTCACTAGTCTTTGTGAACTCCTCCATTAAGGTGTTTCGCAACTGTGTGAGCTTCTCATTTTCATACTCTGGCTTTCCAGCCAACTCTTTCAGCTGTTTCTTCTTTGCTATAAATAATAGCAAATACAAAATCAACAAGCTGTCATTATGTAAATAAATGCTTTAGAAAAATCAAGTGAATAGTAGAAACTAATTCATCACCATAGTATGAAATGCTGGGACACACCAATTTATTTTGCAAACTATTTTATGTTAATTAAAAACACAACGGATTAAGAGAAATCCTGATAATTTACCATATACTTCAGCTATGAATAAGCAAGACAAGTGCCTGTATACCATGGGGACCAGTGAATTAAAAAAACATTTATATAGGCGTAAACAAATAAAACAACATCTGTGAAGTGCAAACCATAAACAATATTTTAGCCTTATATTAATCTACCAAAAATCTTGAAAAGTGCTGGCAGGCTCTTATATTAAAAATCCCTATCCCTGGACCTCACCACTGGAATACATTTGTGGAGTAGTGAGTTTGGGAGGATAGAGGTCATGCCCATTAGGCACTCTTGTAGGGATGCCCCCCACTGGACAATTTCCATTGCATGTAATAAAAGCCAGGATTTCTTTTGACTGAAAACAACCACCAAAACAAACAAACAAACAAAAAAACCTTTTCCTAGTCAGTTCCTTAAAGAGGAATGCAATGAACATTGGGGACAGTTTTGGATGAATATCTTTAAACATTCAGAGGGGTAGCTGAGTTAGTCTGTACAAGATAGATTTAGGATTGCCAGGTGTCCGGTTTTGAACCAGACAGTCCAATATTTGAGCTTTCTGTCTGGGAAATAAATTGAGAAAACGCCGTACATATAAAAGTCTGGTATTTTCTAATTAAGTTAGTTTTATTATTCTGAGTATAAGTACGTAGTTGCATACTGCCTGGCTGGTAGACACTCTCACACTACGTGAGTGTGTCTACCAGCCAGACAGTACACAACTACGCAGTAGAGAGGAGGAGGGGGGCGAGGCTGGGTCTGGGGTGGGATGGAATCCCCAGGGCCAGACTTGCTCGCGGTTCACCGGGACTATATTCAGGACAGGCAGCACCCCGGGATCTGTGTGCACCTAGGTCAGCCCTGCTCCCCGCTGACTGGTTCTCCCCCAGCCAGCCCCACTTTCCCCGACCCCCTCCCGAGCAGCCTTGCTTCCCGCTAGCCGATTCTCTCCCCCTGCTCCCCCTGAACCCTTTCTGGCCAGCCCCACTCCCCTCCCAGGTGGTTCTCCTCTCCTTCCCCCCATCTGAGATCAAGTGTGTCCGGTATTTTTTTTGAAGCCATCTGGTAACCCTAGATAAACTTAAAAAACAACAAATACTATGGTAGCACTTTAAAGACTAATAAAACATGTAGATGGTACTAACAAAACATGTAGCTCATGATACCATCTACATGTTTTGTTAACTTTTAAACATGTACATTATATGCGTTTGCCACAGCATGGAAGGAGTGTGTAGTGAATTTCATTGCACACAACATGCTTATATGAGGGCATAAAAGATATTAATGCTATCTTAGAATGTAAGTTTCTTTTGTCACTCTATTGAGTTAAAACCATTTCACAGTGAAATCTATAGTAAGGACCATGCTCTATTTTTAAAACAGCAGAGAAAAGTGAATGTAAATTAAATTTCCTTTCCTCCCAGTGTCACTAATGCCACCTTCAGTAATAAAATGGAACAGATTTTTAATTTATTTTTCACTGGTTAGGTAGGCTCTTTCAATTTCATTCACTTTAGCTTTCTAGTTCTCAGATATTAACCTGATATAGACATGTTCAGTCTGCAAACACTGGAGGGAATTTCCTTCAAATATAAACCTTTCCATTGGAAGTTTATAAAAATATATAAAATATTTCTACGGTGACTACTATTCCTATTATCAGTTTGAGGCTTATCTATAATAACATCTATATTCTGTAAGGCACCAGGCATATTTAAGAAATATTTTACAAGAACTATTTATTATAAATTGACTTTGCAGCTTGTTTTTACACCACCTAAATTTTGGGCCCTAATTTGACCTGGCACTGTCTCTAGAATACGCCTCAGGTTTTTAGTACGCTTGGTCTTTAGCAAAAGGCCATTTCTATTAGGAAGCTATTTTTTCCTGTCTTTCTATAATATGTGCATATATTCTGGAGAAGACACTGAGGGTTTATACTTAAGCAACAAAGAACCCAACACACTTTTAAAAATCTAGGTGGCAACTGGATTTGGTCCAAATTTTTAAACTGGTCCGATCCTGTTCGCATTGAGGTCTATAATAATTTATATTAACAATAATCAGAAACATTTGGTCACTAATTTCTCCTTTGTTTGAAAGGTAAAATATTCACATTTTTTCCAGTCACAATGGGTTGAATTCAAAGAGCCATAAAAAAATTCAAAGCAAAGCTTGCCTTATTTGTTTTAGTGCAATGAATCTTATAATACTGTCTGTATATCTTTAGCATTAGTAAATTAGATCTATAGTTCTACTGTAATGTGTAATTCAATCTGGAAATAAACTGAGCTAATTTTTTCAAACTATAATTCAGTAGGCCAACATAATTATGTAATATTAATAAAAGATTAAAAGCAGGAACCCAGGAAGTCTATTTCTCAGCAAATCTGTATGATGAGGAATATAACTGATGCATTAAAGTATTGCTTTTCAGAGTAACTGTTTGTAGGAAGCCCTGTATATATTATTTATGGCAATATGTTCAGTACCATAGCTTTGCAAATATTCAAACTATGTTTGTATCTCAGTAATGATAAATGGAACTATAGACATCTAGTTATGAATAAGCATTTCATTATTAGGCCAAATCCTGCAGCCTTTGCTTAGGCAAAGCTCCACTGATTTCATCAGGAGGTTTGCCAGAGTGAGCCTGAAGGTTCTGATCCACAGACCGATGCGAGTGAGTGGGGATGGGGAGGTACACTCCTGACCTTGCTACGCCGTGGTATAAAGCTACAAGTGCCTTGTCTCCTTTTCACCACAAATTCAGAAGTTGCAAATTACTACTAAGTGGCTTGCATGAACTGACTTCCTCACAATATAACACTTCCAGAGTGATCAGCTGGGTTCTTAAGTTCAAACTCTATATTTCAAGTGGATAGGGATAGGTCTCTCAATGGAGAAGCTCTGCTATTTGCTTCCTCCAGCAGAGCCAGAGTTTGTTGATCTTTAGGCCACGGTACAAAATGTTTCTTTTTCTTCCTGTCATTTGCCTGGCTATTGAGTAATGCACTTTTTATTTAAAGGGACATTTAGGCACTTGGCTAGATTTTAGATTTTCTAAGTGGCTTAGTTCTTATTGTTGTGAACTGGAGATTCTGGGTGCTCTGCACTTTTTGAAAACCTAGCTATTTAATCTTAGGAGCCCAAATGGAACTGAAGTCTACTGAAAAAAAATTGGTCTTTTGGACCTAGTTATGTGAGGGGTTAACAGCTCTCTCTGTGGTTATTTATTTTCCATGATCATTAAATTCTCTGTCCTTCTTCTTAGGCTGTCAATAAGAACAACAATGGCTGCTAATTGTAAGAGTGCTTTTGTCATGTAGACTGTAGTTTCGTGGTCTAAGCCCATTGCAACTAAACTAATCTCATGAAGCCCATCAGCCATTTGACAGAAACAAGTTTCACTCATCAGCCTATGCTGGATTCACACCAGTGACCTAGACATGGGAGACATTGTGTCTCACAATTATCAGTCCCCAGAAGCTTCAAGTACTTGACAGATTCTGATTAACATACAGTAAATGATCTCTTGAGCTTGTATCAAAATATGCAAAATCTTCAATATGAGAATACACTTTTATATAAACATACTATACCATTGGACATGAAAATACCATATAATGCTGCTAGGCTAGTAACTTTTAGACAGTATATTGTGACATACAAACCCTATAGCACTGAATACCATAGAAATACCTGTGAATTAATGAGTACCATGCAAATCACGTATTACAGTGTCAATAGTGTATACTGTCAGCTGTATGGATTTTAGATTTTATTAAGTATCATCATATATTTTATGCTCACCGTAAAATAATTTTATCAGGAACATATCTGTTTCATCTAGATTTGATGATACTGGTTCATCATCCTCATCTTCTTTTACTATTGTTTTCTTGCTTTTCTCCTCTTTATAGAAGTTATTGAGGTTGTTGTATGCATCAATCATTCGGATAGTGTCATTAATTTGTAGGGCATCATTATATTTCTTTAAGTGCTCTGCACAAACACGTTCTTTACGTTTTTCTTCTTTTGCAGCTAAAACCAGAACATATAGAATCACGTTTGTACAGCTGCACACACATACAGCTCTCCAAGTCCAAAGTCATTCAGCATTTATATTAAAGTATTTTTAAATACCGTTCTTCTCTTCTTTAACTGCCCACTGTTCATAGGGCTGAGTTCCAAATTCAAACGTTGGGTTAAACTGACAATAATTTTGAATGTCTGTCATGATTTCTATAATTTTCTCTCTAAATGGATCCTAAAAGCACACGGATAAAAACTAATTAAATTTATAATCATTGTTATGTCAACAAGAAAAATGAAGCAACTTTTTCAATGTGCTGTTGTCTACAGGAATTCCCAGTACAAAAAATTGTTTCAGGAAAACAAGGTTGCTGAAAGTACTTGCTCATTTAACCACTTAAAATCAAGGAAATGAATATCTAGGACAACATAAACATTAAACTATCCATATAATACATTCCTCATGAGTAAGTAATATAAATTTCCACACAATACAACAACATTAATACTATTCTTTCTGTTATCTCAAAAATATACGAGAACTCCAAAGCCCTTTTGAAAAGGAAACAAAAATTCAACTTGACATTCATCTACAGAGTGTTATTAAAATTCAACATTTGTGTTTCTTTTTCCAAAAACAATTAATTTATTTTTGGAAGAGCAGAAATACTGTAGTACCTGCTATGGAAACTGGAACTTTCCTAGGGCTACAATATCTCCAGAACACTATCGTGGGATCACTATCAATCAGCAGGGAAACAGAGTTAGCCTAAAAACCCTTTACTCCAGTCAGTACTCCTTTACAGATTAATATACTTTATTGCTTAGATTTTGTAAAAAACCAAACAAAAAAACCCCTAAAACAAAAACATACCCTTCTTTTGTCATCTGCAATCACAAACTTCTTATATGGTTCCTTCACCTGATCTTTCAGCTGGGAGGCATGTTCTTCAACGGTCATGAGTCTATATGCATCAAGATTAGCACAAATCTGGAAGGAGAAAGATTTTTATTTTATTTTTCATATATTTTATGAGTTTATTCTACATGCAGGTTAGATTTCAAAATGTTATTTTGAGTTGAGGAAACAAAAGTATATCACACTTTAAACATAACAAATCTAGCTCAAAAAGACATTGGATACTTGTAGGATAATGAAGTGGAATATAGGAAATAGGGCTTCAGAAAGTAATTATAAAAGTAAGAGCTGGGCCTGGACCTTTTTTGGGACCATGTTAATTGGACGATTGAGAGATTTTTCACTTCTGATGTTTTCAAAGAAAATATTTTCCCTGTATATTAATTTCAGTGATAATAAAGGAAAACACTTAAATCTTCATGAATATAGAAAAATAAAGAGTTAATGACACCAGGAGTAGCACTCTAGAGTCTTGCAAATAGAAATGTGAATGGCAACATTTATTCCATCAAAAATTAAACTAAAAAACAAACATCCTATTTATAAAATGTTCAATACTGATAAAGAATAGAGAATATGTTTCTGGGTTTTTTAAGACATCGTGGGGCTGTATTTTTACAAGTACTTCTCAATTCTGCCTACTCTAACTGGCTTGAGACAACAAAATTGCTTCTTATAGGGCATGTCTATTCAAAAGTAATTGGCTCGCTTAGAAATTGCACTAAGGCTTTGGGCTAAATTCTGCTTTTTGTTTCACCAGTATAATTCCAATGGAGTACATCTAAAATAGAGTTACATGAGATTAATGACTATTTAAATAAGAGTAGAAGTTAGCCATTGTCTCCAGAATCATTTTATGCAAATTACCTATTCTTCCTTCCTAATTAGCAGTTCTAATTGTTAGAAATTAACATGTTGTTTGATTATTGTTCTATACTTATACACACCACAATTTCTGCCTGTTTAAATATGGTTTCCTGCCTTCTTCAACCCACACAAATGTATGCCTCAGCAACCTTAAAAATATATCTAAGAAGGACATGACAGTTTTGTACAATTTTCAGAGCACTGATGGGATTCACAGGTTTCAAGTAATAAAGTGCCACTGCTTTGGTTCGACCAATACTTAATTTGACAATTCACAAATTTATCGCTCTTTTCAACTGACACCAATCCTATTTATCAGATCCTGCAAATCTTTACTCAAATGAATTCACTAACTTCAAAGGGATAAATTACTTACGAAGTTTACAGAATCAGGCCCTATCTACCCACAAAAAAATAGGGGATTAAATTTAGGGGGAAAATAATAGTGGCTTCACTAAGCACTTTGCTTGAATAAGACATTTCCTTGGTGATTTGATCTTTAAGGGCTACTTGCTTTCAAAATATGTTCTTCAGCTTTCTGTTGACTTCTTGCCCCTCCCACACCAGGTGAAGCAGTCAGTCCCAGGATCTGAGGCTGTGGAATCAGGGGTTTGTTTTCTTTTCTCAATCGCTTGTTTTTTATCTTTTCTTTTAAATAACGTCGCATTATATTGTTGTAGACGCCTTCCTTCTGGGTGTGATGACATTCGTCAATTATGATGAGAGAAAAGTCTGTAAAACATACCCAATACAAAATGGTTAAGATTTCCTTTCAATGCAGTATGGAGTAAATTGGTCCTCTTACAGCAAAGGATGGAGGGACTCTTGGTAATCTGTTTTGGCTCTAAAATATATCTGCTTTAAAAGAAAATAAATGTACAGGTAGTCCCCGGGTTACGTACAAGATAGGGACTGTAGGTTTGTTCTTAAGTTGAATTTGTATGTAAGTCGGAACTGTCCAGATTCAGCTGCTGCTGAAACTGACCAGCGGCTGAGCACCATTAAATTACGAAGTATTAGGTAAGCTGCCTTTTGATTTTGCAAAAATGAACTCCAGAAACACACATTTGAATCACCTTCAAACTCTGCTTTATTATTTAACACACATGATGTGTTAAATGTTTTCCAGACATTCAGAAATGACTGGCCTTACACATGAGTGCACAGAGGTTTTTTTTTCTCCCCCTAAGAAAAAAAAAGGGGGGGAGCTATATCTAGAAGAAATAGCTTCCCAAAAGCCATTAGAAAGAATACAGAAATGTTAAGCTACTGTATTGCTACCTGTGTCTTGTAATTGAGATAATTAGGTATTGTTTTCTTGTTTTTCAGAATATGTTAATTTAAACAAGATATACTGACTACTTTAGACCAGAGATGTCTGAAAGACCCAGTTCCAGAGACACTAGAATAAACAAAGGCTGGGACAAGAAGCTCTGTGATGTAGGATAGGGGCTGGGCTACTTGCTCAGCTAGCAAATGGGGAGAAGCTCTCTGAAGAAGGGCAGTATACACGTTGCCATCTCCTTCAGAACAGAGAATGCACTGACCATGAGAAGGATGCCAGAGATGCTGAGATCCTGCTAGGAAGGACATGTCAGCTCCAAGAAGAACAGTAGGGGCAGTAAAAGAACTCTACTTGTGGCAAATGAACTGGAGTGGAGTGTGAACTTTCGTTTTGTTGTAATGAACTTTATATTTGGAACAACGAGGACCATTTTGAACTCAGCCTCAGGAGGTTGTTGGTCAATGTCCTGCTAAAGACTGTGGGGCTATGTCTAGACTACACAGTTTTTCTGGGATACATAAAGGTATCCCAGAAAAACGCTGTAGCATCCAGGGAACGCGTCTGCTCTTCCGCTTTTTTTTGCGGAAGAGCAGACGCGCTCTTTCGGAAGCCATGTCTTCCTCCTTTCATGAGGAAGAAAGGCTCTTCCGAAAGAGGAGGTTTTTCCGGTAAAAAGCAGCAATGTAGACATAGACTGTGGGGAGATTCACAAGGAACCCAAAGAGAGGGAACAGAGTGAAGATGCTACAAAGGCACTCTGGACACTTTCAGAAAGGAACCACATGTTAAGTCCCCCAAAGAAAACCTAGAGTGAAAAACTTGCCTGATAACTGGACACCTTCTTCATCTTCTTTGGTTGCATTTAGCAGAGCATTCTCAAGGATCTGAGCAGTACTGATAATTACATCATTTTTTCTTACAACTTCAGGAAATGAGATTTTCAGCTGAGAATCACCACTTAATCCTGTAACCCGATACCAATGCTTCAGGAATGGGTTGAACTCTTTTCTGAAATGCTGCTCCACTAATGGCACCTGAATAAATGTTTCCAGAAAAGAATATGAACTACATAGGACATACAAAATTCAACACGTCATTCATAGAATGATTGTTGACTAAAACAACAATTCTGCGTAGGCCAGTATTTATCCTACAATAGTATCCCTGGGTCTTTTATAAGCATGTCATACCAAATAAGTATGTCCCACTCCAGGACCCACCCAACCTCCCTACCTTCAAGCATGTCCTTTTATCTTGCCTTCCTAATGCAGGATCCCACGCCATCCCTGGAGCACCCTGTGTTGGCTGTCCAGGCTGCTCCCAGGGTGGGCGGGACTTGAGCTGAAAAGGGCGGGCAGGACTCATACTCCTAATTAAATATTTTGGGATAAATTTTATTCTCCAAGCACACAAAATACCCATTGGCATTAATGGAATACAGAACACATGCACTGGGAGGAAATATATCTCAATCTTGACAGAATTATTAATGCTCATAATTCTATATACATTGGGTATTTTGTGTTACAGAGATGATGGACTGCCCAATAGCAAAGTACAAAAGTCTGTACTGTATTTTTATGAGAGTAGGTTTACTGCATTTTTATGTTAAGAATGGAAAAAATTTCTAAAAGATTCAGTAATTAGTTATTTAGGCACATGTTTCCTTCCTTTTATCCCCCCATATAATGTGGTTAAAAACCATATCTATCAATAATACAAATATCTATGTTAAAATTTAACTCTAGAGAAATATTTAAATTTTTAAGTTAATGGTATGGGCTGTACTTTTTATTTGCAAAATTCTAAGGGGAATAGTATTTTAAAATTTCAATGAGAACAGTATTACTTTATACATTTAAATGTGGTGCTGTGAACTTAAGCTATAGCACAGTTATTCCCCAACAGAACCACTCAGAAAACTGGCTAAAATGTGTCTACAAAGAAAAGTGAAATGGTGCAAATGGCTTTCAATATCACACTCGTGTATCAAAAATATAAGGATGAAATAGGCACTTTGATTTTTTTAAATATATTTTCCATTTTAATAACCTTAACTGTCATTAGTAACTACTATTAGTAAAACAGATAATAGTAATTTTTCTCTATATAATTGATAGGGCAGATTAGTTTCTCTGTTGTACTGATGTAAATGGCAGTCCCTTGGATTTATACCAGTGTAATGAAGATCAAAATCTGGAATCAGGACCCTCTTTCATATAGCTTGATTTAGTGAGTTTATTGGCATATTGATTTATGCTCAATTTAAAAGATCAATATTAACATGGTATACAAGACCGTGTCTCAGCTCAGGGGCTGGAATAAATGCTATTTTGGGGTCCCTTCCAGCCCCCATTTCTATGATAATACTATTCCTGTCGTAATGGCACAGGATACCTTATTCACAAGTACTATAACTTTTCCAGGCTCTGATGCTCTTCTCTTCTTATCCAAATGTTCTTTGGTAATGTAAACAGCCACCCTGGTTTTACCACTGCCTGTAGGGAGACATATTATAACATTCTGTCCATTCAGTGCTGGTTTTGAAACCTCCATTTGATAATCTCGGAGAATCAGCTCTGGTTCTGGGGAAGCTCTTTTGTCCATATCATCTTCATCTAAGAGGAAGGAAAATACAACAGTTCAATAGAGGAAATCACCAGCAAGTTCTACAAATAACATGTGCACAGTTTAAATGTAATGCAAGTTTAACCATGACATAAGTTTTCTGAGGAAAATGAAGGCCTCTCCATGTAACTGCTTTTGTCCTATGCAATTCTGCAGAATTTTCCTTTTACTAAATATAAAAATCTGGTTTAGATGAATAAAGTCAAATTTTTGACCATGTCTAGTTATCTAAGGAACTTCCTGGGTTGAAAGCTACCCAGTCAGAGACTTATTCAGAATAAACATAATTAGGGAATAGGCCAGGGGTGGGCAATAACACCAGTGGTTAGCCAGGGTTAGGCCCTGGCAGGCCTCTGCTGTTATATTTATCTACAGGGCCACAGGTACCAATGATCACAGATCATGTTGGCTGCGGATTGCCATTCCTGGCCAGTGGGAATGGCAGAAAGTGGCGTGAACCAGGTCACTGCTTCTCGCAGCTCCCACTGGCCGGGAATGGCGATTCATGGCCAACATAAGCTGCATTCACCAGTATCAGCAGCCGTGCAGGTAAATATAGCAGCAGGGGCCAGCCAGAACTAATCCTGGTGGACTGGATCTGGCCCGCAGGCAGGTATTTGCCCATCCCTGGAATAGGCAAAACTAGTTATATATGTTACTTTATTACTTAACACTTGTAGAGCCAAATCCTCCAAATAGGGGCAGCAAAATTAAGTCCTCAAATGCTGTAAAACAGTATGATTCTACTTGAGGGAATTTAAAAGAAACAATCTCTGCATACCACAGGACTCTATGAGGACACTATCCGTCTAAGCATGCAGCAAAGTTTTTTGGTGTATTACCCACCAATTAAGAATCCACCCCCACAATCTCTGTGTGAGGAGGGAATATAGTAACCAGAGTTGCTAAGGCAGCTGGGATGAAGTAGTAGCCTTTGTACAGCTCTATTGCTGCTCTGTATTCAGCCAGCTATCACAGTATTCCCTGTCTCCCCACCACCCCAAATCCCATTTATCTGGGCTTTGTACGGGACCAAAAATTTGGTCCATAATAAGTACGCAAGATTCTGGAAATTTACATATCCAGAATTACTGCTAAACTTTCATTGATGGGTATAATCCCACATTAATTACATTACTGCCATGCCTTTACTGCTGTTCCCCATGCTAGCTAGATGAAAGCTGGCAGGGAAATATCTACCCATGCACCAATCCCACCTTCACTTGCCTCCCAAGGCTATGTCTATAATGCAGTCTGACGTGTGATTGTAGCACAGGCAGGCATATCCATTAGCATGGCTGGAAAATCATCACAGATGCTGCATCAAGGGCTAGCAATGCGAGTATATACCCAGTGTCTCAGTGTACTTCTACCTGGAATGTTAGTCCATGCTGATGCCTATGCCACCTAATCAATACTACTATTTTTAGCCATTGTAATAGGAGTATCTCAATCGATGCTGTAACTACACTTCAGTTTGAAGTATAGACATAATCTGAATGATATTACGGGTTTAATGCTAATTTCACAACACAAAGACAGAGGGGAACAGGACCAAGCCTATTAAGTACTACATTTTAAAAGGCAGAATTTTTATACTATTATATACACATTTAAGAATTATTATTTTATTTTCAACCAGAGTTTTATTGCATTCTGTAAATGTTCTCAAAGAGCTTACATCAAAGATAATGACAATATTCCACTAGACAAAAAAAAACCAAACTCAGCCCCTGCTCTCACATTATGATGAAATCACTAAGGGTACTTCTAGACAGTGGAGCTATTTTGGGATACCAGCTACCCTACGTCTTTTAAACACACCCGTTATTTTGAAATATTTTTCAAAATGTCAGGCGTGCTATTTCAGCATCCTTGTAACCCTAGTTCCACGAGGGCTAAGAGATGTGTCAAAATAGCATGTTATTTCAAAATACAATTGAAATAAGATAAGCAAAATTTGTGTAGTGTGTAGAGTTTTGGGTGTTGTGTAGATGCACCCTAGAAGAAGAACTGCAAGGCTTTTAACATCACAGTTACATTTCACATAAAATAAGTGTCCCATTTTTTGTATTTGATTCCATTAAATAAAACTAAACTAACAGAACTTAATGAACCTTGAGAAAAGACTGCTGATGGAAACATCCAGGTTCCATTTCTAAGTGTTTTTCGCTTGTTTTATCTTTTAGTGTGAGTGCAGACCTATCTGAGCAAAGGAAAATTCACACCAGAGAGTGCTTGGCAATAGTCATCTAACTACTACTACTGCTCCATTTTGAGGAAGTGCATTTGTTTGCTTTCTGCTTGGCTAAATCCAATAGATTAATCATATTGAAACTAGCATCGTATCACCTGTCTGTTTGGTTAACTTTCAATATCTCGAAATCCTCAAACTTAACCACTTTAGAAAAATATTCCTCTTTCTTCTGTGTCTTTTTTCTTCTTTTTTGATAAATATATAGATTTTAAAACATTAAAGAATGTTCTTAATGCTATGTCCTGTTTCTCTGAAAGGCTCATATAAATTGCTGTGCTGGGTTTATTCACACAATCAGTATTCCTTGCTTTGCATTCTTTGCCTAGCCTCCATTTATTTTATTTTTATCTTTTAAAGAAAAATTATCTTTGAATATCCATCAAAATGAAGTGAAGGATACAAACTTGACTGCTGTAAGACACTATTAGTAAACCACTGATGACAGTATTATAGCACCTTGATGCTCATTTAAAATACCAAATGTTGTCATAAGCAGCAGATTTCTCTCTTTGTGCTCTTATTGGTCTTCACTGTGGCTACGTCTACACTGGCCCCTTCTTCGGAATAGCCATGCTAATTTAGAACTTTGGAATAGGGAAATGCGCGGGGGATTTAAATATCCCCTGCGGGATTAAAAATACGGCTTGATCTATCTACAGTAGGATTTTTAAAAGATCTTAATTAAAATATGTTTGCTAACACAATTCTCATTTAAAAAAACATAATTTATCTTCACCTAACAAATATAGGCTGTGTCTACACTCGCCCCTTCTTCGGAATAGCCATGCTAATTTAGAACTTTGGAATAGGGAAATGCACGGGGGATTTAAATATCCCCCGCGGGATTTAAATAAACATGGCCGCCGCTTTTTTTCCGGCTTGGGGAAAAGCCGGAAAAGAGCGTCCAGACTGGCGCGATCCTCCAGAATAAAGCCCTATTCCGGAGGATCTCTTATTCCTACTTGAAACTGGGTCAAATTTCAAAAAAAACCTCCTCTTTCATAAGAGCCCTTTTTCCTTGTGGAAGGAGGAAGATAGGGCTTCCGAAAGATTGTGTCTGCTCTTCTGCTAAAAAAAAGTGGAAGAGCAGACGCATTCCCTGGACGTGGCAGAGTTTTTCAGTTTACCTCTAGAGATGTAGTCTGGTCTTGCTGAAACAAAAGACAGGACTATGCAGCATTTTAAAGACTAACAAGATGGTTTATTAGATGATGAGCTTTTGTGGGCCAGACCTGAGGAAGTGGATCTGGCCCACGAAAGCTCTTCACCTAATAAACCGTCTTGTTAGTCTTTAAAATGCTGCATAGTCCTGTCTTTTGTTTCAGTATACCTATGGTATCCCAGAAAAACCCTGTAGTCTAGACATAGCCTGAGTGATTAGTTTGTACATTTTGAACATATACAACATGATGGCCTGACCTGCTGAAGTGAATGGGAATCTTTTCATAAACTTCATTGATGTTGGATCAGTCCCCATTTGAAGGTTTCCTGTTACCAATACTTGTTTCATGACTCCTTTATATGGCTTTATTAGATAGATTATGACAGTTGGTCCTATTTGGACACCCAGACTGTTCCCAGCCTCCATACAAAGGGGAGCCAGGGACAATATTTATTAGGGCTAGATCCCTGAAGACAAAAGGGTTCCTTTTGATGTGACAGAGCTCTGCACAGTCATGTCCATTTGCAAGATCCAGGGAGCGATTTTCAGAAGTGACTAAGGATGTGATCCACAAAGGAACTTAGGCATTGCTCGGCTCATGCTGTAACCTGCGCTTAACCCCAAGGTACCCTTTGCCTTGTAGAATTCTCAGCCCTACGTTAGGTGCCTAGATCACATATTGTACAGGAAGAGTTAGACACTGAAAGCGGTGATCCTTCAAAGCTAGCAAGCTGAGCAGGGAGCCACCTAAGCTAGCTGGGAGTGAAATGCAGAGGAAGGGAACAAGGCCTAAGGCCTCAAAATTATTTAGCTGCCTAATACCTAACAATCCAGGCCTTAAGTTCCTTACTAATAGGCCAAAGGTTGGTGCCTCCCTCAAAACAGAACAGTTTCTCACAAAAAGTCTGGGGCGGGGGAAGAGCAAAGGAAGAGAGAGCGAAAGCACACATGTGAACAAGGAGAGCCAAATGGTTGGGGCGCAAAGATATAGGAGACCCAAGTTCAAATCTCTGCTCTGTCTGATTTTCAGCAGACCTGATCCTGTCTCCCCCACCTCTTAACCAGAGAGCTTTAGAATCAGTCCCTCACTGGCCCAGTCAATATTTAGTAATTTATACTAAATGTAACAATCCCAGGAGGAAGATTAAGAGAGTCAGTCCCCAAAATATTTGATAGCCTGATAGGTAGGGCACTCAGCTGGGATGTTGCAGATGTTGATACAAGTCCCTGCATAAGGCATTCCTCCTCTTAGATTGAAAATCTTGCTCTGGGTCCTTTGAAGGGCTATGAAGATCTGGCTAGTAAGGGGATGGTATTGACAATTAAGCTGCTTTGCCTCATAGTTGTTTCCATAAACTATCTGAATAGAGGACCTAACGAATGAGAAATAGGGAGTGAATGTGGGTCAGTGCTTCTACATCTAACTTCTCAGAGACATTTTGCACAGGATTGACAAGCAGAAAAGAATGAGCAAATGCTGGAGATGACCTCTCTAGGCTATCACATTAGTTTAGTTATTGAGACATGGATAGCACTGGCTTGTGAGAGGCATGGTATAAGAACGGAAAAAGTGGGTTGTGCCCACGAAATCTCATGATACTATCTATATTTTTTTGTTTGGGACATAGGTGGCAGCTGATCAGTGAGTTTGTGAATGTCAGTAGTTCCTAAACATTGGCTAGAAGTGCCTAAATACCTTTGTGTAACTGGCTCTCAGTGATTTAGGAACACAGGTCCCTCTAATTTGCAGTGTCAATAGTCATCTACTACACTAAGTCACACAGCTGCTCCTGAAATCTCATTCCTAGCCCTTAGATCCCTCAAAACATAACTTATCAACTTGCTGCTAAAATTCATTCCCTTGCACTGCCTTCCTCGGGGGCTGAGCAAGGACTGGCTCTCTTTGCACTTTATTTTGAGGGCTGCTGTAGAAAAGGCAACTGATTAAATATTTTATGGCACAGTATCACATATTATTAGACATTTATATTATAGAAGAGTCCAAAGGCCCCAGTCAGGATCCCACAGTTACATGAAAATAGAGCCTTTGTCCCATATAGCTGATGGACTAAGCTGGAGCTCACAATGAAACTTCATTCATAGTACAATGTGCTCATCTTCACGCTTACTAGGGTACAGAAAGAAATCATACCTGAATCACCACTAGTGGTGCTACTGTGTCCCAGGCTTTCATTTAAGCTACTGACACTTGCATCTGGCAAACCGACTTCAGATTCTGTAAAAGATAACATTAACATAAATCTAAGTGTTTTATGACACAAGAATATTTCCATATTTGCTTGCAGTTAACACTGTATTTCAACAAAAGCATGTTAAAAATCAGAGGAACAGAGGGATGCTCTAAGATAAGTTGCCTGCAGCAACAGGCTATGGTGGCTGACAATCTAAAGGAGAATCAAGAATTCTGCCTGCCCCAGCTTTTCTTCTCCCTATACCAAAGTTGTGGTGTGCAGGGGGAGAGTTGCAGATGTCATGGAATCAGCAATGTCATTGGAAGATTCCCTGCTGCCTATCCCTAACAGGACAATTTTCCAGCTGTAAGGGTACATCTACACTGCAGAGCTATTTTGGGATACCGGAAGTTTCCGGAAATAGTTATTCCATGTCTATTGAAGCGGATTTCAAAATAACAGGCTGCTTATTCCAAAGTCCTGGTAACCCTTGTTCCACGAGGATTATGGGGCATTTCAGAATAGCGAGTTATTCTGAAATGTGGCACCAAATTACAAAACAAGTTATTTTGAAATAGCATAAAAATAAGCTGCCTAACAGAGGCAGCAAGGGGGAGGCAGGAGCTAGTGCTGGGGGAGCCAGCTTAAAAGCCAGTTTCCCCGAGCACCATCTCTCCAGGTGGCAGGGAAGGCAGTGAGGTAGCGGGGACCGGGAGCGAGCCACGAATCAGTTGATTCCCAGCTTGCGCCTAGTTCCAGACGTGCCTCTGCTTTTTAAATGTATTCCCAGCTCGAGCAGGGCCCCCCTTGCTGTGCACCAGCCTTTTAATGTATTAAGAGCCATAGCCTGTCAGGATGGGAGCTAACCCAACTCCCTACAGCAAACAACACTACCACAGGTTAGGTCACTTTCCAGAAAGTGAAAAATGTCACATTCAACTGACTGTAGTGTTATTGTAGCAGTGCTGGTTCTAGGATATTTAAGAGGCAACGTGGAGGAGGAAATATCTTTTAGTGGACCAAATTCTGTTAGTGAGGGAAACAAGCTTTTGAGATTAAACAAAGCTCTTCTTCAGATGTGGGAAATATTCAACTGAAGTTACAAGAGACATTAAGGAAGGTAAAATAAAATTTTACTTTTGATATTTTTTCATACTACTTTTCAGTTACTAAAACTACAGACAAGGACTGTTGATAGTACAAATTATTTTCTTACAGAAAAAGAAGACAAGGTCAATTATAAAAAGATAAGGAAACACAGTAGAGGTGAAGCAGTTATAACTTACAGTTATAGCATAGCATAGCATGCTCTTCCTGGTTGTAATGACCTAACAACTTCAGGCAATACAACCTTCTTTCTATAAACTTCGGCTTGCTTGTAGTAAATTAGTGAATTTTCTCAAAAATGTTAAAAAGACTCCTCTTTGAAATCTAAGTTTTTGAAACTGTGTTTAACTTATTTTTTTGCTACATGTGCCCCAGAATCTCCCTTTTTAAAATTTAATTTTAACAATAATATTTCATACCTAACTGTTTCAGTATGGAAGATTAGGAATACTGACTAAGGCTATGTCTACACTGCAGAGCTTTTCTGGGATACTGCAGATATCCCAGAAAAGCTCTGCCGCGTCCAAGGAACGCGTCTGCTTTTCCGAAAAAAATATTAGGAAAAGTAGACACATTTTTTCAGCATCCCTGTAAATCTCGTTCTACAAGGAAGAAGGGATGTTCCAAAAGAGGGTTTTTTCCAAACTTTTGGCCCTATGTTGATGGGTCAAATGCTTGAAAAGCCTCTTTCAGAAGAAAAGCGGAAAAAGATACGCAAATTGCAAACCACAGCAGACCTAGACTAACTGTAGGAAGGAAAAAAAGTGAAAATGACTTACACTGAGGCTGTGTCTACACTACAAAGAAAAGTCGGAAAAAGATATACAAATTATGAACCGCAATTGGCGTACCTTTTTCGGCTTTTTTTTTTTTTTTTTGCAAGAGCCTCTTCCAAAATTTGGCGCGTCTACACAGCACCAAATTTCTGAAAAAATCTCCTCTTTCGCCACATCCCTTTTTCCTCATACAGTGAGGTTTACAAGGATGGCAAAAGAACGTGTCCGCTTATCCGAATTTTTTTTCTGAAAAGCAGGTGTGTTCCTTGGACACGGCAAAGCTTTTCTGAGATACTGGAGATATCCCAGAAAAGATCTGCAGCATAGGCGTAGCCTACGTGCTGCCAAATGAACAAATTATGAAAACTGAAGAAAGAAATCCGTTCCCCCTTGTACTCTTTTTCATCCAGCATAATCTTAGGTATTATTTGTGTCTATAGTAGATTTAAAAACAAGCAAGCAAAGCAGACCAAAGTGTGACTTTTACATTGGTGTCTTATAAGTCTTCTCATATAGTTTAAAAGCAAAGAGGTAACATTTAACCTACTAAACAATTTGAAAATAAAACTAGAAAGTGACAATTATGTTATACCTATTAGAAGATTTAAACACTACAATGAAAATCTCTGGTATGACAGGCTTATTTCAATGTTAAGCACTCCCTCTGCTGGAGGACAATAATATGGCAGAATAAAATTGTAAGCTTGACAGTATGGTTTATTTAAAAAAATGCATGGCTATTTTGGTGTCTAAATGGACAAAGAACTACCCCACATAACGTGAGTTCCCACTGTCCTGCAGCTTATTTATGCAATTTCTATCTGTACAAAATAAGTGCAAAGTAAGTGTAGCAAAGTACCAAGTCAGGAGAGTAGTGTTGGCATCCACTTTGCACACGTTTAAATGACTACACAAAGATACAAGGCAGTCACCTGATCAATAATACTTATTATTTGAATAAATAATCCATTATTACTCATAGGCATCTGTTCTTCTGTGGTCAATAAATAATCCACATAACAAAATGCCCATTATATTAAAAAAAAGCTTTTGTTAAAAAATTAATTCTAGATCTTCCTGGTAAAGAAAAATTACACTTTCTTCTTAGAATTCTACTTTTAAAAACATACAGTACAAGCATACTGGTAATACGTGTGTGTGTGTGGCAGGGGAGACATAATCTGCTTCATGGTCAACATGTCCCAGGGCAGGGGACTGCATGACAGCTTGGTTTTGTTCTCTTTTAAAATGATTATCAGAAATTAATCCCTCTTATTTGTCCACAAAACAAATAAAATAGAGGCAACTAGAGCAAGCTTTAACTTTGTCCTGGACAGCCACCATCAATGCCTAGTCCTGATTTGTCTTCTCTGATGAGACCACCAACCAAGGACACAAGTACTGATTGCAGCTTTGTGACGTGAACACTTGTTCACTAAGGCCTGGAATGAATCTGCTAACCACTCAATGAAAGCCTTTAGAATGGCCACTATCATCTGGTCTAACTTCTAGTTAGTGACCATATAAAAAAGACTCTTTATTCCCAGTGAAGAGATCTGCTGTTCCACTATGTCATGGATGGGTGTAGGTTTTCAGGCAGAGCCCTAAGGGCACCACCATAATCTGACCTTAAGAAACCTAAACATATTCTCTGTGCTAACATTTAAATCACAAGCTACATTATACAGTACAAAGTCCTCCCTCAAGATAACCCATTAGAAGAAAAATTAAAGAGAACTTATGTTCCTAAGTGAAAGATGGTTTTTCAGGTAAATGAACATTCTCAATTTTTTAATGTTGGTACTTTTCATAAATTATTTTTTAAAAAGTAAACCTTTTCTGACAGTTTTCCTCAGCCTTATTCTCTTTCCCTCATAATGCTTTTTGTGTCTCATAATGCTCTTTGTGTCCTACTCTTCACTACACCTTACATTGCCTTTTTTGCAGACATAAATGTTTGTACATGTAGTACAAGAGAATGGAGAATAAGGCCTCCCTTATGTTTTTGATAACATGGGTATTGAAAAATACATTTGTGGAACACATGGACAAACATACAAGGAGAAAGTACTGGAATCAAAATGTAACAAGCTTCTTAACCCAAACAGCTGGACTGCCACAATAAAACAATGTGAGGTGCTTCTAAGACAAGGGAATCAGAGAATCATTTGTAAGAAAAATTTGAAACCTTCCTTTTAAAAGGAATACAGTGGAATCAATTTATAATGGTCAGGTTGGATTTCAAAAGAAAGCAACATTCAATGGCCATAAGTCACAAAGGGACCATGTCAGAAAGGGAGTAGCTGAGTGAAAAGTACTTTTGAAAATCTGGTCCATAGTGCAAAACATAAATCAATAGGCTCCAATCCATGTATGGAGAACAGCATACAACAGCTACTTCTTCTCTCAATCCCTACAGCAGTATTTTACAGAATTTATAATCTATTTATAGCACAATTAACCACCTAACTGTATGGAAAACAGATCTTGTCAAACACAATTGAAATTGTTTTTAAGGAGACTGGGTGAGAGATAGCACAATGGAAAAGTTCTACCCAACGTTACTGGGTCCTCACTGAAGTTGCATTCACCAATGAGAGTCACTAGGAAGTCTAGGGCACATCCCATGTTCTCTGTACTGCATGAAACTGAGCTGCTCTATGATACTTGCCCAATTAATTATAGGAAAACTTGTCTATAGATTCATGGAGGTTAGGACCATCAATGGCTATTAGCCAGGATGGATAGGAATGGTGTTCCTAGCCTCTGTTTATCTGGAGGTGGGTGACAGGGGAGGGATCATGTGAGAATTATCTGTTGTGATCCCTCCCTCTGGGGCATCTGGTATTGGCCACTATCAGCAGACAGGATACTACTCTAGATGGACCTTTGGTCTGACCCAGTATGACCGTTCTAATGCCAGTCTTTCCGGGAACATAGAAGGGAACCATTGCAGACACTGGAAAACTATCACCACTCAAGTGGTTCAGCCTGTGTCCTCACTACAATCTGGATAGTTTACAATCCTGAGTGAAAATGAAACCCTTGCTCTAGCCCACAGTCTCATCTTGGCCAGACAGCCCAGGTTAAAATCACCATAAAAGGAAACAGTTATTGTGGATGGAAAGTAGGTTAGGAGCAACACCCAGGGAAAGATTCCAGGGTAACTCTGCATGAAAACATAGCAACTCTCAGGGTATGTCCCTGTGTCTGAGCCCTGTTCTAGAAGGATGCATTCTAAAAGTGAAAGGAAGTGCAATATGATCAGTTCAGTAGGACGATTATGTACTTGGGCATCTCTGCGAGACTACCTATACATGTTTTTTATGTGGGTATCAATCCACCAGTTACTTTAAAACACTTGGTGACATGTTTTTTGCACTCCTTTGGAGCTGTCTTGTCATCTTTGTTGAAGATAGGGATGTAAAATTATGATTAACTGGCTAATTGAACAGTCGAGGCAATTTGCATCGATTATTTGATTAGTTGATAAGGACACTTCTGCCTCTCAAGTGTAGCAACAACACTTGCTTCAAAGGCAAAAATGCTGCAGGAGGCATGAGGCGAGTGGGGGATTCAAGCAGTCCCCCACTGGCCCCGTGCTCCCTGTGCTCCATGCTGTGCTGCCGCTTTGAAACGCTGCAGGGAGACCAGTATCAGGTTCCACGCGGTGTTTCAAAGTGGCAGCGCAGCATGCAGCCTGGGGTCAGCGGGGGACTCGATAAGCATTTGCTTATTGGATAGTTGACTAGTCCTTCACATCCCTTGTCTCTGGCTGCTGACCCCTTTTCTGATAGTCAACACGCTAGTCGACTAGTCGCTCTATTTGATAAGCATTTGCTTATCAGACAGTCGACTAGTCATTCACATCCCTAGTTTAAGGGTTAGTTTTCAGACCCAAATCTTACTTTGCCTTATTCACATGAGGAAATCCATTAAAATCCCCAATTGGATCAGCATATATGGAGGCAGTTATCTTGACCATTATCATTACTCTCAACTGCAGCTCTATTTGAACCTATAACAGGTGGGAAACACTTCTCAGCTCACAAACATATGTATGAATCACTGAATCCCATATGGACCTGTATTGCTGCTATTTATGGTTCCAGACACATTTTTCAAAAGTTAATTCACATAAACAATGGGGATAGAAGTAATTAAAAATGTTACTCATCTGTGTTTTTATATGATTTAGTAAGTTAAGTTTGATGCTGCTGTTTATTTTATACCAAAAACATTTACCCTTAAAAAGTTAAAACATTTTTCACTTGTTAAACAATTACTGGCAAAAGCCCTTAGTGGAGACACAGTTATACTGGCATAAACGTCCTTTTGCTAGTACAAGCTGCATCTGCACCAGCTATAGTAGTGTAACTATACAAGCAAACATTTTCTAACATAGAGCTGGGCTGATTTAACCTGTAATTTGTGATAATTGTTGAACCTACATGAGAATTATACATTTATTCAAACAACATCTTGGAGCTGGTTTTCAAATACCTTTTAAATATTTTATTACAAACAGGAGGAAGACAAAACTAATGCTCTTTTTCTTAAATCAGACATGAGAAAATCATGAAGACCAAGCTAAAGTAGCAAATGTTCACTCTAAATGTGCACAGCTTCCATGA